AAGTTTTGCACGAAGAGGAACGAGTAGTTCAGCAATGAAGTAATGAAGGAATTAATATATTTATTTGTAAAAATATTTTATACAGGGTGGGCAGGAAAACCGGACAGGGGATGATTCTACGTTAAAAAAGAAGGAACCCATATTTAAATATGATGCAATTTTATATGCAATAATATATTTTTGGTTGACGGAAATAGAATGGGTGTTGCAGAGAGAGGAACGAGTGATAATAATTGAAGGAACGAATGGTTCGGCAATAGGGACGTAATAAAGGGGTGAAAAGCGTTGAACAGATTGCTCTAAAACGGCATCCGAAGTATCTGAATTCCGGGCGACAGAGAAATATACCGACATCATCGAATTTCCCTCGTCAACCAGCCCCTCGCGTTTCTTTGTCGCGACCGGTCTTTATTCCCCTTTGTCGTCGCGTTCCTTTCGAAACGTTTCGTGCCTTTCGTTCTTTCATTCGTGTTCTTTCATTCCCGTTTCACGGCGCGGCGGTCCTCCATCGCAGCCCCTGATAAATAAACGGTCTGCCGGGAAAGTTTTACGCGGATGCGTTAAAGGGAATGAAAATCGTCGACGGGTCGTGCGTTCCCTCGCCTAGACGTTAACGTGAATAACGGCTGAACATCACCAATACAGGCCGCCAGCAGTGCTTGTGAAATGCTTCGAGTCGATTCGCCGAGAGACGCTTTTCTCTTTATGAAATCGGGAAAACCGTGCGTGTAATTATGTCGCAGGCCAATGAAAATTCTGTTCTCAATTCAATTTCAGTACTGACGATTATTAACGCGATTGTCCTGTTTATCAGTGAATCATTAGTAGGAGTAGAAACAAAATTTTGCACAGTTTACAGGATTTTCATTTAATCTTAATGAAACACGCGGAACAGGTATAAAATCGTTCTGAATAGAGCTGGTAATGAGTTGGAATTATTCGGCGTCATTATAACGGAATGCTCTTTAACCACGTAATTAGCGTTGGTGTATGAATGGAATTTCAAAAAACGAACTGTTTTTCAATGGATTTCCATCGAATACCGGATGAATTTCGCTGGATTTTAGGTACGATCTGATGATCGGCGTTGTCCGTTCGGAAGCTTATTTCTCTCTGACGGCGAACGACGCTCAATACGGGATCGAGGGCGACAGGAGGACAAAAATCTTGCGGGAATTCGTACGCAACACGTACACGTATCATCAGGCAGAGATCCTGGCGACGATAATCAACGAGTACACGGACTGGGAACGGCCTGTGCAACATCCGGTGAACATAAAGTGAGTGAGGAACCATGCAATTTCTCATAGCCAATTAACCTTATCGCCAACTATTTTCTTCTTTCGCTCGTCTCGTATAAAAAACGTAATTTTAGTCTCCGCGCGGGTGTAAGCATTTTTTAAATTCTGCTGGCAAGTGAATATAATTCTGCGACGTAACGTAAGAGACAGATTGTTCGTATTTTATCAACAATTTTATTGCCAATCGTCAAAAGATGTTAATTAAAGATATTCAAATGTAACCTGCTTTAAAATTGTTATTCTTATTGAAAATGAATTTAGTCCTGCAATGTAAGAGACAGAGTCTTAACATTTCAAGAAACAAGATTCTATTATATATTANAGAGAGAGAGAGAGAGAGAGAGAGAGAGAGAGAGAGAGAGAGAGAGAGAAAGAAGCATGCGAGAATTGAAACATTTCATTATCGTCACTGTAATATTTGATTTTAATTAAAAAGGCGAATTTCGGGGTCGTTTAAAGATCTCCAGTTTGGCTTTCGCCGATGAATTTTCACAAAGAAACTAAAAAGCCAGTGAAACAAGAGGGTGGATCGTCGAGTGCAAGTCGAACTTTCTGAAGAATCTCTCTGGACTTCTGTCGGCGGTTTCCCCGTCGACGAGTCATCGATTGCCGAATTGGATTTCTTTTCCAAGTATTCCTTAAACGATTATCCCCGGGAAACGAACGAAGTCTTTCAATATCGGCCCGATGATTCGTTAATGGATTTTCATAAAGAATAATTAATAAGTGGAACGGCGCCGCGTCGGACAATTTGCGTTTAACGTATAATTTGCAATTCAGCTGGTTATCGGCTGGTTAATCGGTGAAAATTGTGAAAATACTGAAATACGACTCCGCGTTCGGTCGTTGATTTTCATAATAACCGAGGCACGCGTCATTAAATAATTCGATCGCTGATATAAACAGCAACGAAACATCCGACGAAAAATCGTCTCGAAAAGAATTTCATTAACCGTCCACAGGCCATAACGACCTCGAGTCGACGGGACAAATTTTTAATTTACACGAACGTCGCAAAAAGTTAGGGAATTCAAAAGATGCGACAGTTCCAACGGAGAATTCTATTGGCTGGCAAAGTGAAACTTTCCTCGTTGTGAATTTTTCCCGTTCCTCTTTTATTTTATTTTTTTTTTAAGGACAAGTTGGCGAAGCTCGTTGCGTCGAAAACAACAACGGGCACCGGCTGTGAACTTGATTATTATAGAAACGAATGGTAAGGCACTGGGTAATTAGAAGAAAGGTAACAACCTCCTCGAGACTTAATTAGCACGTATAATACGTCGACGCGAAAGGGTAATGCTTGCTAGCCGCGTGAATAAAACAGTCGATTGGAAAAGCGCGGTTCGCGTTCGACAATATTTTCAAATTCTTCCGATCGTAAAATTCCCGTTTCACTGCCCGTCAATTTGTACTAGAAATTACGAGAACGTTTTTCAAAAGGGATATAAATTGTACGATTAAACGCCGGCGCCGGTCGACATTTATTTTAATAATAATTCGTTGCGTTTCGTGAAATATTTTTTAATAGTCGTACCTTTGCGTCCGGAATCGAAACGCGCGCGTATTCCAATAGAATTTGTTACTTGTTTTAAATGATTCTGATCGAGATAACAAGATCGTCGAGCGTCGTTTCATGAAGCGAGGGGGAAAAAAAAAAAACGAGGAACGAAATGCTACTGAAAACTTTGTCAGGGGGCCTCGGCGATTCATCGGAAATTGCTTTTACCCGAACGATCGTCGCTCGCTAAGTGGAACAAGCTTTTTTGGCGCGCGATGAAAGAGCCGAAGAATGAGAAAAACGGTAGAGGGGGGAGAGGGACGTGGAAGACAGTCGCGTTATGAGGAGGAAGACATCAAAGGCGATGATCGGACGAGCGTGTTTAAATTTAAATTTAGATCATCGATTGCCCGTCCCGGTCGTGTTCCGTTCGTGCGACGACCATCAAACGGGACATTAATGTCGCTCGATAGAAATGAAACACTGTTCTCGACGTTTCATAACTAAATTGCTCATTCTCGATTAGACAATACTGAAGCGAAAACTCGAAGCGAAATACGAGAAGTCAAAGACTGGTATTAGGAAATAAGAAGAAAGCAGGTGTTCTACTGATAAGAAAAATATTAATAATGTAGAGAGCTCTGAATCAAACACTTGGAATGAAGTACAAAGATGATTGTTATTAAAAAATAAGAAGAAAATAAGAATTCTTCTGGTAAAAGTATTAATAAAACGCGAAACAGTGTACGTGGAAAGCACGAAGTTTACGGCGTTTCGTAACGAAAGTTGAAAGGTCCAAGAGAAAATTGCAGCCTCAGCGAAGTTGATATTCGTATGCAAACCGAGAGGCTTACCGAAACCAAATGAAAAGAGCTTGTAACGTGGAAAACGCAATTTGTTACAAACGGCAACCGTGTAAGTGCCTGTTCCGTCCTGT